AGTCTAAGAAAACAGACCCTGTTTTGACAGAACATCAGTTCCATAATTTATCCTTCACATAATTACATAATTCAAACTCATTATCTAACAAGCACCCTATTTCACTGAATCTTTTTCTGTGTATTTTATTCCCTAGCAACATGCTTTCTAGCACTCCCACAATCATTTCACTTAGGGGAGATGTCTCAAAGGTTTCTCTTCACATGAGAAACCATCAAGAAAGGAAGGGGCTTGAAGCCTTGTGAATAATAGATATATAGAACCTTCTAGCATAGCAGTCATTCATTGAAAATAGTTGTTGAGGCCCCTTAGGGAGCCAGACCATTATCTGGGCACTAGAGATACAATGGAATAATGGTTAAGCACATAAATTCTGAATTTAGATGAATTCTAAAATCCTAGCTATATAATTGGCTCCGTCTCTGAAAATGGTCTTTTTACTTTACGTCCCTATGTCTCAGTTTACTCATCTATGAAATGGGGATACTAGTATTGCCTCTCTCCTAGCCTTGTTAGGAAGGATAAATGGCAAGTTATGTGAAGATCACTGAGAACTGTCCTTGGCACAGGGTACATGGCAGCTGTTATCTCCAGAGGAGATGACACAGTATTGGCCAAATCAACTATTGACAAACCTCACCAGCACTGGGACTGCCTGCCGTGTCCTCTCCCCTAGCCACCCATCCATGCTAGCAAGGAAATGACAAACTCATGAACTGCTAGCAATGAGGAGTGTGGCAATGGAAAGCTCTTAAGATATCACAGAGCCTGCCTTTTACGAATGGAGGTCACTAAAGGCCAGAGACTGTGCCCAGCTTGAACTAAATCTCACACAAATCAAGTAGGGGCTGACATTGGTATTGGACCTTGGGTCTCTATATTCCTAGTCTGGTCCTCTGGCAGGAAAAACCTACAACCTGGAAGATTGGCCTATTCTCTCATCCGACTCATCTTTGACACAACCACGGGGAGTAACTCAAACACACTCCTCCTCACTGGTGGGGGTAGGAGATGGGGGGCACTTGGCTATAAATTGTCTATTTTTAGCTTCTGTATATGGCCTGCTCCCTGCAGACTCACTGGGGCTAACAGATTGCTGTGGGATTTAAGGCACTCTCCGTGTAGCTTGGTGGTTGCCATGCCGACGAAATTTAACGGAAATTGTGTTTTCTAGTAGATTATTTTAGTGGAGGCTTGAAAGCCGAGATTACAGTTCCAACTCTGAAGCTTAAATGGTGCAAGTGATTAGTCCTGGTATACAGTATGTGTGCCGTAATACTGAGCAACAGAATGAATGCATGAATGCAATTAGTTGCATTAGGGAGTTGAAGGTGTAGCAGCAGCAGAGACCTGATCTGCTACTTAAAGTCGATATTTAAAATCAGTCTGGAGCAAGTTCACTCATATTCTTCCCTGGATTTTCATAATTACCTGACCCTGTGTGTGAAATAATGCGTCTGAATCCAAAGGACTGCCTCTGATCTTCAGGCCACTTGGGAGCTCAGCAACCCAGAGGCTCCGCCTGCACGCAGCTGTGTGTTGCAGACATGGAAAGGGTAGCAGGGATCCTGATGGGGTAGCCCTTTGCAGGCCTTTGATAGGGCGGGGAGCTTACTCACATCCCAGAGAGTCCGTGCTCATTCCTTCTAAGGATGCTTTTTTGGCGATTGTAATCACCATATTTAATGTGTGCATTTATTTAAGCAGCCTCTCCGGTTCAAGAAACCTGTTTGAAAGGCCATCCTCTGGCCACAAGGAGTGAATGTTATCAGATAAGCAGAGGGTCAGAGGAGCTGACAAATCTCCTTTCGGTTCTCAGGACTTTAAGCAAGTATTCTCTGAAAACCTTGTCTGATGAGTTCTTTCCCTCCTCAATAAATTCTATTCTATTAATCATTTGGCCTTCTCTCTTTTTTTATCCTCTTCCTCTCTCCTTCCTTCCTGCCTGTTCTTCCATTCTGCTTTCCATTTTTTCTCTCTCTCCCTTTGTCCTTCCTTCCAGTGGCAGTGAAAAAAAACAACAGTTTTTTGGAGTCAAAATTATATTTAAATCCTTGCTATCTCTGATGCTTATTTGTGCTGTGACTTTCAGTAACTTTCTCTAGCAGCATTTCTTCTTGTGCATAAGGGGCTACCCATGTTTGTCTTGGATAAGGTAACCTTAGAGAGTTTCTCCAACTTTATTGGCATGAGAGTCACTTAGGGAGAGAAGAGACAATGCAGATTCTTAAGACCCATACCCATAGACTCCAGTCCATTTGATCAAAATTCCAGGTATCTGCATTTTAACAAGGTTTGCAGATGTCAAGAAACACTGCATATGCTTGTAAATGCTTAGTAGAAAAAAATTTATTATAAATATTCAAAAGGTGAGAGCAATGATCATTATTCTTTCGGTCAGCACTTATCGAACACCTACTATGTATCAAATTCTGGACATATGTCCTGCTCCATTTATTTTACTGTGAATTTAATTTGTCCAATACGTTTGCCTGGTCCTATGCCACTAGTTCTAAGTTCCTGGAGGGCAGGATAAAGCACATAATGCGGTGGAGAAGAGCATACATGTTAGAAGACATGATCTAATCCAACCTATTCTTTACTATCAGAGTTCTAGCTCTCATATTCTGAATTCTAAGTGTGTGATCTCAGGAAAGTAACTTAACTTTTTTGAGCCTCAGCTTCCTCTTACATAGAAATGGGCATTCATTTGTCCAACATCCAATCCTTCAATAAACATTTACTGAGCACTTTCTAGGTGACCAACAGTTCACTAGGTACTAGAAATACACTGGAGAGTAAGGCAGACAGGGTCCCTGACTTGTGTAGCTTAGAGTTTAATAGTGGACACAAATATTAAATGGGTAACTACACAAATAACCAATTCCATTGCAGTAAGCTGTGGTAAATTTAACCAGTCGGAGTGAACCTAGCCTGGGAGTGTCAGGGAAGAACCTCCTGAGAGAGGGGAGATTGAGCCCTGAGGGAGGAGGAGGGGCTGCCCAGAAAAGAAGGACCTGAGATGGGAAGAAGCTGGACTCTTTTGAAGAAGTACATGGATGCCCATGTGGCTATAGCTGAGTGCACAGGTGACAAGAGGACAGCGAAGTGCTTATAGCACAGTGCCCAGCACAAAGAAGCATAATAATGACGGACATAAGACACCTTCTGGCTTGTTGTAGACGATGTATGAAGAAGTGCTGTGTAAGCCAGAGGTTCTCACCTCAGCGTCCACCAGAATCCCCTGGAGGGCTTTCTGAATCACAGATTGCTTCTGACTCAGTAGATCTGGCTTGAGGTAGATAATCTGCAATTCTGTGCCAACACATTGCCAGGTTATGTTCATGCTGCTGGAATATATGGGTGGGGGGAATGGTGAGGGCAAGGGAAGGAACAGGCAAGGGGTGGGAGATTTGGAATTTGAGAATTAGTGTAATTGTAAGGTCCCAAATGCCTATCCATCAAAGTTGAAACTCCCACAATGCTCAGCTCTAGACCCTGTACAGAATAACCTCTTAATGATTTGATAATACATGTTCTTTATACTTTTAGGGGGAGAAAGGGCCTTTGAAAACCCACATCCTTTTATTTATACAAGAGATGAACTCAAGGATCAGGGAAAGTGACAATTTCACCTGAGAAATGGGAGAAACCTGAACCCAAGGTTTCTCCTCTTCAGGACATACTTTTGGCCCACTTTGCCCGAAGGCAGGCAGATGCCAGACAGCCCCTGAGAGTGGCTTTCCCTGTATTCTCCCTACATGGGCTAGATAAGCAAGATGACCTGTCCATCTATTACATGTATCTTGCACATGCAAAATTTTCTTACTGAATACATTGATTTTTCAAATGAACATATTTTTGAGAGTCATGAGATAAATTCAATGAAATACAATCTTTTCAAAGACAATACACCCCACAGCAATCGTCTATCATGCTTTCTGTGGAAATGAGCACGCTAGCTCCCCTGGTCCTTTCTGTTTTTTTCTTAGATGTGTAGACCACTTTCTTGTGGTAATAATGTTAATAATAAAAATGGAAATGAAAACGATAGCTTATTTACTCAGTGTACGTCTGGGTCAGAGAGTGCTTTAACCCCAGCACCCTAGTAAGAGGTTGGTCCTAATTATCTCCATTTCATGGAGGAAGAGTCCCAGGAATTTGATGCGGGTCTAGAGCCAGGATTTGAATCCTCCAATTAGGGTTTAAATCAAGGCAGACTCCAGAGCCTGGCCTCTTAATTACATTAATGTGATGATTAAGTTGTTTAAAAAAAAAAAATCAGCGTTGAAATGTAATAGTAAAGTGAGATCCGAAACACCCTAAGGAGTCAAGAAGATGCATTTAAGTAACTGTCTACAGAGGAATAATCTCTCAATTTGACAAGAAAGCCCAACAATAACTTTCATACTGGTTTCCTATTTCAAGAGTTAGATTAGAAATATCCCAATTAAAAAAACGAAAAGCAAAAGCTGAGTCATTCGGATCCTCCAGGAGGGAAGAAGCCTCTCTTTAGGATACATCTTAGCTTCTGTGGAAGAAGGGGCATGTCCTGCGGGTAGGGGTGAGTCACGCTGGGGGGGTTTTGTTGCTTTATTTATTCACAATCCAAACACCTGGCTGGATGTGGTTCTGCCGGGCTGGCTAAGCGCGAGGACCCGGGGCTAGGAAGGCTAGCATAGACCCTCTGGGTTAGTCATTTTGGGACATCCTCTCCCTGTTGCTTAGGATGAAGTGGTCCTAATAGAAACACCCATAAATAAATACCCAGACCTTCCTGCCAGCATGCTATCCAAAAGGATGCCCAGCCATGCTTCTCCCTCATCCACCCTCTCCCGCCCCACAAGAACTGTCAAATGCAAAAAGCTTGCCAGGGCCTGCAGAAAGCTCGGCGCCTGGGAGGCCTGCACGCTCTCTCCCCACCCCCCACCCCTTCCTTCTCCTGGGGAGCGATCTGGGCATCTCTCCCCACGGAAACCTGGGTCCGAGCCAGCTCCAGGGGGTGGGGGGAGGCGGTGCTCCCAGCGGCTGGGCAGAGCAGGGTGTCACCGGCCACCGCGGCGGCGCTCCGGGAGCGCTGGCTCTCCCTCCGCGCGGGGTCCCCGCAGCCACGCGCCACGCTCCGCCCTGGACGCGGGGCCCGGCGCCCGGGTGCGCGCGGGTGGCAGCCAGCCTGCCAGCGGCTGATTTACGGCTGTGCCGAAAACCGCTCCTCCCGCATAGCCCCTGCCGCAGCGGCAGCAGCAGCAGCAGCAGCGGCAGCGGAGGCTGCAGCTGCAGCAACAAGTCGGGTAAGTGGTGGTTGCGGGGCCTCTGCGCCTGCAGCCTGGCTCGGGGGTGAGGGGGCTGGCCGGGCTGGGAAGGAGGTCCCGGGCTTCTCACCCCCCTACCTGCAGGAACTCCTGTGCTCACGGGTCCACTTTGCCACCAGGGGCTGGCAATGCTGGGAGGCGGGCACAGGGAGAGCCTTGGACCCTGGAGGCTGGGTCCTTGCCTGCTAGGTTTAGGCAGATGGGAAATGAGGGCTTTTCTGCTAACCCCGTGGACGGGGATTTCCACTGGGCCCTGGAAAGTGTACATAGACCCGGAGTGCATGATTACCTATTTCCCCTGCAGAATGCCACCCTTTTCCCTTTGCCCCCTGGCATTCTGACTTCCCTTTACTTCACCTTTCGCCTGCCTATTGGGCAAGCATTTACATCCCATTCCAGAAAACTGGTGGTGAAACAGCCAGTGTAGCACAGGAAGAGGTTCCCCTGTCAGGGGACCATTTGCAACTCTGCACCTCTGCTGTTGAAGAGGCTGAGGGCCCAGGAACAACACTTTTCAGCCTAGACCCTTCGCTGAACTTCCTCTTTGGGGGGCCCAGTGCTTCCTGTGTTTAACTAGAAATCATTCCTGGAGGAAATAGATATGGTGCTGCTTGCAGAATTAGCTTGCTATAGCAGTCATCTGTTGCTAGGGCTCAGATAAGAAATTCCTACAAGGAACTAAGAACATCCAGTTATCAAAAGATGCCCACTTGGTTCAAACATTGGCCAACTCTAGTGGTTGTCTTTCATGTCTAGAGGTAGATCCTCAAAATAGGATCAGAGACAAGACAGATCCATCCAGAACATCCTATTTTAATAAAGTCTTGGCCGTGGCCCCACTTAGATCAAAAAGTATTTGACACTTTGGGTTCCCAAATTTTAGTACATCGAGTATGGAGGGCCATTGTTGTTATGGAAACACTTTGCTTTATGTCATCACAGCAATAATTAAAGGACAAAATTAAGGGCAAACATCGCAAGTTGAACAATTTTTAGCTGATTGTGTGCTCAGTGCCAGAGTACCTCATTTGAGTGACATCTTTCCTATTCTTGAAGGATTAGCTTTGACAATTCATGCTGACTTTTCCTCGTGTTTTTTTTTTCTATTTGTGCTTATCAGGCTGTTAGTAAAGCAGGACATGATTTTGCAGTTAATGTACTAAATTCAGGAAATTTGAATCCACTTCTGGATCTGCCATTTTCCAGCTGGCCTTGAATGAATTTCTTTACCTCCTTGCTCCAGTTTTCTCATCTGTAAAAAGGGGATGTTACTGGTCCTTTTAGCCAGGGGTTGGCATACTTTTTCTGTCAAGTCCAGGTAGTACGTATTTTTGGCATTGCAGGTCACAGTGCAAAAGCAGCGGTAGATGATACAGAAATGAGTGGATATGACTCATTTGGCCCAATGAGTGAAGTTGGCCCAAGGATTATAGGTTTTAATTTTATAAGATACTAGAGGCCCAATGCACAAACATTTGTGTACTTGGGGGTCCCTCAGCCCAGCCTGTGCCCTCTTGCAGTCAGGGAGCCATTCAGGGGCCTAAACCACACTCTGGCCTCCCTCTGTGGGAGGCGACTGGCTGGCAGGTTAGGGTACAGCTCCGGTGGGTGAACGGCTGGCCCTGTCTCTGCCCATTGCTCCTCTGCTGGTCACACTGCTGACCCCCAACCGCCGTCCCGCCCCCTCTGCCCGCTGGCACCTGCCTTGGCTGGCCTGGCACTACCCACTTGCTGGCCCTGCCCGCCCCATTGCCAACCAGTTGTCCCGCCGTTTTGCATATTAGGCTTTTATTATATAGGATTACCAAAACCTCTGCCTCTAAGGAGATGAGCGACAACAGTCATTTCAGTAGCATTTTGCAAACAGACATGGTAACTCCCTGCTTTCTGTTCCTCTGCCCAGGACTTTTAGAGTAATGCAACAGAAGGCCTTTGAAGAAAGCAGATACCCCTGGCAGGAGTCCTTTGAGAATGTTGCTGTGTGCTTGCCGTTCCGCTGCCCGAGGTGCGGAGACCATACCAGATTTAGAAGCTTGTCATCACTGAAGGCCCATCTGGAATTCAGTCACAGCTACCAGGAAAGAACCCTCCTGACGAAATGCAGCCTCTTTCCATCCCTCAAAGACACGGATCTAGTCACTTCCTCGGAGCCCCTGAAACTGGGGAAACTGCAGAGCTGCGGCAGCGTGGTGAAGCAGAAACCCAGCTATGTTAACCTATACAGCATTGCCCACGAACACTGCAAGGACAGGAAGCCCTTCGAGGTGGTGGCCGAGAGGCCCGTGTCCTACGTGCAGACCTACACTGCAGTGGATCTATGTGACGACCCGCTGGATGGGCCCAGGGCCAGTCCCGGGTTCCCCACCTCCGACACCAAAGCTGCTTTCGAGGCCCACGTCCGAGAAAAATTCAATCGGATGGTCGAGGCCGTGGACAGGACCATCGAGAAGAGGATCGACAAACTCACCAAAGAGCTGGCCCAGAAAACGGCAGAACTGTTGGAAGTCCGGGCCGCTTTCGTCCAGCTGACTCAGAAAAAGCAGGAAGTGCAGAGGCGAGAGCGGGCCCTGAACAGACAGGTGGACGTGGCCGTGGAGATGATCGCGGGGCTGAGGCAGCGCCTGACAGAATCGGAGGAGGAGCTGCTCAGGAAAGAAGAGTAAGTGGCGCTGGAACAGGATGCTCACCCTTTTGCGCTGGGCACCCACCCCCAGATCACGAGCCAGTGTTAGGCAAGGTTTGGTGCTGTTCCTTGCAGGTGGTACCTGGGCTGCATTTCTCATCCATGTTGTGGAATGTGGGGGTGTGGGGGGAAATAAGGTTTTTAATATTATTTACCCTCCCTGTGGATGGTCAGCAACCTGAAAGTCAAAATACCTATTTTTTTCTCACCTTGGAAACTGTAAAATATAGATAATATGTAATATATAATAATAGATAATGTTTTTTTTCCAAATTAATATTTTTATTTTTTATTTTCTTTTATTTTTAAGTATATTTTATTGATTTTTTACAGAGAGGAAGAGAGAGGGATAGAGAGTTAGAAACATCAATGAAAGAGAATCATCGATTAGCTGCCTCCTGCACACTCCCTACTGGGGATGTGCCCGCAACCAAAGTACATGCCCTTGACCGGAATCAAACCTGGGACCTTTTAGTCCACAGGTCAATGCTCTATCCACTGAGCCAAACCAGTTTCGGCTAGGTAATGTTTTTAAGGAGAGGAGTCTTGTTTCTGTGGTGGGTGCCTTTTCCCATACTCACTGGTGAGCAGGGGAGTTGAATGGGCGGGCAGAAAGCTGGGCTGGAGAGCCTTCCTTCTTGACTGTCTCCATGTAATAAAGTCAAGAACATGAGATGCTGTCTCATTCAAGTGTAAAGTATGCGCAAAATGCTTTTGGCTTCTTTGCCATTTTGGATTTTTCCGCCTACCGTAATTAAATGTCGGTTGATTGCCGAGAATCCATCCAATTACATTTTTTTATTTGGAAGAAGCAGACATTAGGAAACCCAGAGGAACTGGTGATATTGCTGTGCTTCTGTGATTTAAGTTGGAGAACCTTCTTTTTGTAAAATGCTATGTCACACTAGAGTGAGTCACACATGCTGCTTGCAAAGAGTTGACCCTGGTTTTCACAAGTTGTAGGTGTTCCGATAAGCTAATACTTTAAAAGTCATTGTACTTAGAAAAGCATTTCCTTGTCAGTGTTATGGATGCAATACAAACTAAAAAAAAAAAAAAAAAAAAAAAAAAAAAGTATATGTAACAATGCCATGTATTACCCTAAAGAAGCATGTTGGATTTAGTTATAAATGGAGTACTGACATTTATGGAATGAAAGGACATAAAAATTGATAAACTACAACACGCTGGAAGGAAGGTTTCTAAATTGAGTTCCGTTTTAGAGACTGACTTCATTTCATACTTTCTCTGCCCCGTGGCACTCTTCTTTATGTGGTGTCCCTTAAAATGGAGTAATTAAAGCTGCCTCCATTCGGTGAGAGGCTAAGAAACCCTGAATATTAAAGAGATTCACTGTCGCTAAAAGCTTACATGCTACCTAGAGGGAAAGCCTGCTCTGCTCAACTAGACATTTTCCAAATATGTATCTAGAGCGGAATTCAATCAGCCACTAGTTTACTTTGATCTTAGGGAAATGATAGCTAATGAAGAATCATTTTCCCTTGGATTCTGGTGTTTCCTGGTGGGAAGTGAGTGCCTTGGCCTGTTATGGCCACCTGCGTGACTAACATTACACAACTGGAGAAATAGCTTATGGGGTTCCCCCTGTGTGCCGAGAAAAGCTTAGAATTAAATGTTGTGATATTTCTGTTTGATTCAAGAGCAGTGAATTTAAAGAGGTAAGCAAATTAATTGTTTGCATTTATTTATTTGTTGTATTTTATTAAATCTATAAGGAATAATGGATATGAGATTTGGGGTGGTGGAAGACAGTTTGAGCATAGGATCATCTGGTTAGATCTAGGTTATAGCCAAGGATCTAACTTTTGTTTTGGTGGTGGGCTCAAGGATGCTTTATTATTAAACAGAACTGGTAAACGAGCTTTAGTAAAAGCGGGCCATCCATGGATCAATAATGATAATGTGTTATGGTTAATCCAGTGCTGTCACCTGAAGACCAGGTGAAACTATCACTAGTACATACTTGTAAGAAAATTAACATGTAGAATTGTGTGTGTGAAAAGTCCTCCCTCCTCTCCAGGCATACCTACCCCATAACCATATATACTTTATACATAGAGCTACTGTGTTTTTCCAAATGGAATCATGACACATGTTATCCTGCTACTTGTGTGTGGAGTTTGTTTTTGTTTTAACATAGTATATTGTAAGTATCTCTTATTCACTAAACAGTTATGTCATTCCTCTTGATTTCTGGGTGGTATTCTATGGTATGAATGCATAATGGCTGATTTAATCAGTCTGCTATTGTGAATGCATGGTTTTGTTCCTTTTTTTTTAGTATGAAAACTGCCTTAAACTTGTAAACATAAAATAACAAAGTCTTCGTTTTCTTAAGCCTTCATTTGGCCTGTCCTAACAGTTTCTGTATTCGAACCTCAAATAATCATTCTTTCTGTGCATAAAAAAGGACAGAAAGAGTCTTGTCCAGGAAGGACAGTGGAGCCCTTGGTTTGAGAGATTGACGATGGCCCTTGCCCTCAGTGTCCACAGTGTCCAGTCCCCCTGCCACGTCCACCCCCAACTCTCTGAAATGGGATGCAGCACGAGGCGGCTGCCCTTCAGCCACACCAGTGAAACCAGGTGGATTTGACTAGATCTGCCTGGCTGGGCTGGGCCATGCCCCTTCCCTCCTTACCCTTCCTCACAGAGCTGAGCCTTCCACCAAAGAGGTCACCTTTCAGATATAGGAACTGCTTGGCCAGGGAACCTACCAGGAACTGTGCCCACCCCTGTGAAACCCCTCCAGATGAGCCCTCACAGCCCATTTGTGGGAGAAGGTAGGGTTGTTACAGCACCACTCAAAACTAACTTTCACTTCAGGGACCCTATGAGACACAGGTGATAGATTTGTGTTTTTTGTTTTATTTGTTTTTTTTAAAGCAAACATCTAGTATTTAATATTCACTTGAGTTTCTTGACTATGAATTTTCCCCTCAACTTTAAAATTCTATCTTTAAACTGAAATAAAAGACTCTGAGGGCCGATTTTGCCCTGAGACCATCTTTAGCCAGAATATACTTCAATTGTAGAAAATATATACATTGAGTGGCGAGATTATTATGATCTTTGAACACATAATAATCTGGCCACTCAATGTATGTGTGTGTGTGTGTGTGTGAATTCATGCATGGGTGGGGTCTGGCCAGCCTGGCCAGGGGAAGGGGACATGGGTGGCTGGTCGAACTCCTGATTCATGGGACAATTTGCATATTAGCCTTTTATTATATAGGATATACACTGAGTGGTCAGAATATTATGTGTTTAGAGATCATAGTAATCTGGCCACTCAGTGTATATGCTTGGTAACAGAGGAGATTGCTTGAAATGGCAATATTTTGTACTTCTGGGCCAGTGAGCCTCATTGTATCTTTGTAGAGAGGTGTCTCTATATTTCTGGAGAGAAAATAAAAAAAACAAAAATTTCTCATTGTCTTCACAAAGCCTGTGCAATTTTAAAAGTCCTTTGGAAACAGGTATTTACTTATTCAAGAGTATTCAGGGCTGCAGGGTAGCACTGTCCATAATCAGGTAAATCAATCCTGGCCAACCTTGCAGGAAAGTATCCTTTAACAAGAATGGGTGGCTGTGGGTAGTAGCTGGTTCCTGGCCCAGTTGGTCACCTGGGGTTTGGAGAACATCCGTGTAATAACATCAACCCTTCTTCTGCAGGGAAGGTTGGAAAGTCCCACCTGACCACCTGGGATGTGCCAGTATGCTAGATGTGTGGGGGGAACATAAACTTCTTGGTATTTTTCCCTAAGGAGCTTACACTCAGGAAGCATTAATATATCCATGTCCATGCCCATGTTCAAACCTAGGACTTTGAGCAAGTACTTAAATACAAGTATTGGTTTCAAGTTGATAAAAAAAAAAAATCAGAGGACAGATTTTTCTATTTAAGAGTTCACACTGAAGGAGTGAGGACAAAGGGCAGGATGTGCAGTGGTAACCAGAGGACAGTGACATTGGAGAACAGCAGGGAGGTTAGAGATGACCCCTGAGAGGACTGTGTAACGTTAGTACTAGAAGTTACCCCGGTCTCTTGTAGGATCACACCCTCATTTTACAGACGGGGAAAGGAAGGCCCACAGAAGTGTTATGACTCATCCAAGGACAAACATTTAGTATCAAAGCTGAACCTGGAACCCAAACTCCCTGTCTCTCTGCTGAGTGCTTATTTTAACTCACTGTGTCTCAGCCAGACTTTTGAAAATGTGCTATTTGCCCAAAGCATCAAGACTTAAGTAATACTGAACCGGGCCCATTTTGGAATGGATTTGCTCCTTTTCTATTTTGAGAGGGCTGCCAGGGTGACATCATTTATTTTTTCTGATGTGATTAAAGCAAATGTCAGCTGGCATCATAGGTGTTGGGAAATTGGGAAATGGTCGTGTCATTAAGTCTGGTTATGATATGAAGCTTCTGGAACACCAGTCAGGGCTTCTAACTCCCAACAAATGCTCTTAGCTTGACGCTCTACATGTCCATGCCCAGCCAGGGGGGTGCACATGTCACTAGCCTTTGATTGTCGTGAGGGGTCTCTTTGTAATTCCACCTCTTCATTTCCATCCTGATCCCTTGTGAGCTAGAATATAATGTTTCCCCCCTCTTCCTACATCATTTCCCCTGTTTCCCAGACTGGAGTCAACACAAGACAAATCTTTATTGAGTGTGTGCTGAGAGCCAGGCACTGTTCTAGGATCTGGTAAGGCAAGTGGTAAAGCCAATGCTTTCATGGCAGGTAGAGGCCAGAAGGTAACATAGACGGTTCCCAGGTCATCAGGGGTACGATAAGAGAGATGGATAGGAATAGCCTGACCCAGGTCATGTCCACTTGGGTTTCTATCCAAAGCTGGCTGGGGAGCACTGGCCTTTAAAAGGCAAATTTGATTTGGAAACTTGCTTTGCACAACTAAACCCTCTTGCCACTTAATTATGTCTTTCCCATTTTT